GTTCATCCAATGTTCTTAGCATAGGTATGGACTCTGTAGACACCAGATGGTGCAGGGGGGTTTTTCCTCACCCTAACTCTCTGTTTAAAGTTTACCATCCCCTCTTCTCTGTGCTTGTTCTGTCCCTCCTGAAATAGCCTTTGAGATCACACAAGCTCAGCTTACATGGTACTGAGGTTGGGATGTGGTCTCTGGTAAGCCAAAAGGAAAAGTCAAATGAAAAAGTGTTACACAAACCTTCTGTCTTGAAATTCTGCCTAGAAATTATCAAAACCACAGACAAGCAGGTAGAGCACAGGATCTCAGCTGCTGAGGTCATCCACTTCCTTTCAGATTATATAGATGAGAAATATTTACACATCTACCACCTTTCCTCACACGTCCAAGCAGTACCTAGCGCAGAATAGCAACATTCCAGCAAGGTGAAATGGGTCTGAAAGAAAGAAATGTACTAAGTAAGCAGTCCCAGAACTGAATTGTCCCTGAACACTGTGAATGGTGAAATAATTTGGTCATGTGAAAGACCTCAAAGACCTGTGACCTTAGAGGTCTGGGCTAGATTTTTATCTTAGATTTCTTGGGCTAATGTAGTTTCTCGGTTCCTTTCCCATGACTTCTCTATTTCTGATGTTATCTAAGCATATGTGACATACTTTCCCATTCAGATCTAGGGGTACATAGTTCATTAACTGGTGTTTTATATTTTAGCTATACAACAGGTTTAGGAATTGTCATGGCTACTTTTTAATCACATGGGGATATTGGTGGAGGGAAAGAAAGTTCTTTGTGCAGAGTGTTGGTAAAGTTGCTTTTATTAGATATGGATACTTGCCAGTAGCTTAACTTTAAAACTAGTGTTGACTGTAATTTTCATTTGTTAAAAGGCTTTTTCATCCCCCTCCCCCTCTTGACTTTTGTGTAATTTGGCTTATTAAAACAAAATATGATTATTTATATGTTCCAATAAAAGGTTTAAACAACTTCTTTCTGTCTGAAATCTCTCTGTCCTAGCAATATATTGGTTATATAACCAATTTTGAGCAAAACTGGTCACAATGAAAAATTTACAAAAATTTACGTGAGCTTTCTGTGCTTGGTTATACCAAACACTTTGGAATTTCTTACATTGGGATATAATAATATGCAATGACAGGGATTTTTGCTTTCACATAAGGTGCCTCCTTCAGTAATAGAGCATAACGTAATTTGAGATCATGCTTTTCTTACAGTATTCATTTTTAAAATTTTCATTAAACTTAAGTACCCTACACTTGAAGTTGGTAAAATGGTAGCTAAAATGGCATTAAATTCCAAGCATCACCTTTGCAAACTGCTTAATATTGTTTGAAAAGAGAAGAGAGAAGAGCAGAACACTAGAATGCAACTGTATGATTGCTGGGTTTCTGTTTTGCCCACGTATCTTGTGCAGCTCAAACCACAGTGACCTGATGTTAGCTGAGGAGGCACAGAAGGAGTGTTTTAGTTTCCACTCCCTGTTGCTGTTCTGAGTAGTCGTTACTTGTGTTAGAGAAGAACCTATCAGTTTATACACTGTTGATTACTGTGAAAAGCCTGCACTGTTGACTATTGTGAAAAAATGGCCTCTGTTCCTTAGAACATATGATTTAAGGATGCAGTAAGAGACAGAGGGTGGATAATGGGAAACAAAAAAAGAACAGAGGGAGACAGCCAGTTATTTATGATTGCAATGACAAGTGGAGGTCACAAAACCACAGTTTTGTAAACAACATGAATCAAATCTCATAGAACTTTGGAATTTGATTGTTGTTTTGGCTGAAAACATTTCTGTAGCCTCAAGTTATTAAATCATTCCCTTCTTCCTCTGACAGTGCCAGGCAAGTAGGAACATGGGCAGTTATCTCAGCATTTCAGCAGGGAAGCTGAAGAAAGTGAAAGAAGTCGAGAGAAGCACCTAAAACTTAATACAGACAGGAGACCATTGCTGTGCTTACTAAAAAAAAATTCAGGCAAAACAAGCTTGGTTCACATATGCATTCAGGCAAACTCAGGGTGACCACTTTTTCCACCTGAGCATGATTAAATGATTAGTGCTGAGAATATTTTGCAGCTGGAGAAATTTTCACTCTAAACTGGCTGTAGTTTCTGCCCTCCTTTAGGCCCCCCTAGGGTATTTTGCTTAGTCAAAATTGACAGCACTGTTGTAGTCCAAAGATATATTTAAGCAAACAGCACAATTCTGTGGAGCACCCTCCAGAATGATTGTGGTGACCAGTGGTGGTGGTGGGAGCAGGAATGATGGATATTTTATAGAAATACAGCATAGTTTGCTGTGTGCTGCAGGTCCCTCAGGTGCAAGGCTCACTTGCTCACACCTAAACCAGGGTACAAAAGGAAACAGAGAAGAAATCATGGAGAATGGTAAGGAAGCACATGCAATGATTCCCTTGTACATTTATCTAAGATGAAGGGTGTGTGGTCAAGGGTAGAGGACGATGCTGCTTGACTTGAAAGCAAATTTGCAGTAAACACCTGATTCATAGGCTGGGGCCAAACCTCTCATGAACTTCAAAATTTGGGAATGTGTTCTCCTGTCCTATGACAGTGGTTCAGAAGCATCTGGCAGATCTTTGCTTACGCTGCCTCTGCTGTGTCAACAGAAAGAGAATAACTGACCCAGAATAAGCCTTTTCTTAACTGCCAAAATAAGGTATTTTTATCTTTCATAAAGTATGCAATTTTACTGCTTTCTTGTTAGAATGTGGTTCTAGAGAAAGAATCTTAAGAGATTTTTTAGCATGGGGATTTATATTTTATAACAGCAGCCTTTTCAAATAGGCATTTAAAGCAGGTTTTTAAAAGTGATTTTTGAGGAAAGGAGAAAGAGCTGTTACTATGTCATAATGTAATGATAACCCTTCCTTATTAGTTGACAGGTGCTGATTTATCTTTTTTCTGGTGCTTGTGGATTATGTAACACTGATTATATTTTGGGACAGAGAAGGGTTTCTGGATTTATCCAGTATGGTCTCAGGAAATTTCTTTCCTGCTGGGTTTGATTTTGTTCTGATGTGATGAAAAATCACTAGTTGTTAAAAGCTGTAGTAGTTTAGTAGCTATTTGAGAAACTGGTTTATTAAAAAAGTGATTTTTTTTGGTAAAAAACATAGAAATGGGTTAGTTTAAATTACCCTATGAAGTTAAAGATTGCTCAGAGCATTTTTCAAAATTGAGAAATACCTGCCTCGTATTTAAAAATATTTTTTGTTTTAAACTATAAATTAATGACAACTTTTTGTAAATTACACATATGTCTATATTAGAAATCACACACTTAAATTTATCTAAATAAAATGGTTAGTACCTTGCATCAGTGTGCCATTTTGGTTAACCTTTTTGTTCATATTTAAGGGAGTTTGTAATTTTTCCCCAGTTCTACCTACTCACAGTTTAGAATAATATTTATTTAAACAAAAAGTTTCAAAGCTTCTCTCATTAAGTAGGCCAATTCCCACCGGTCCTATTAAAATGAAACAACACTGAAAAGAAAGCAAAAAAAAAAAAAATCTTGATTGTTTGTCTGTATATCTACAACCTTGGGAGATGTGTGTGTTGGGGAGAGAGATGGAGAAAGGGAAAGAAAGAGGAAATTATCATATGTGTACTCTTAATCTGATGCAATGGAAGATAAATTAATTTAAGCTGCATGGTAGCTTTGCTTTGTAGTTTATCAAAGAAACTTAGAAGGGGCCTGAAAGCCAGAACTGTAGCTCACAAAGGACTGCTTAATTTGCAGGATAATCTGAGGTTTTATTAGTTCAGGACCCAAAAAAATCCTGTTCTGCTGACATTGTCCTAAAGGTATCTGCTTCCTCAAATTCAGGCTGTGTGCCATGAACTCCCCAGGTAGGGACTCTCACTTTATTTAAGGGGTTGATCCTTCTGGTTCTGGTGCAGTGCTGAAACAAAGTAATTGAAAAAGAGATTTCAAGTCATCAGTCATGAAGGATGCTTACTCAGAAAAGCCAGGTAGGACTGCTAGACTGACTTCAGCCCAAAACTTGAAGTGGACAGAAAGCCCTGATGACTGCAGTGCACTTGCCTTGCATGGCTCATGCTGTGAACCAAAGTTGTGATGCATTCCTGTTTCCTTTGGGCTTCTTTTGGTTTGTACTTTTGGGGTTGGGGGCGGGCAGGAGGGGTAGGGTGGTGTTGACGTTTTCTGTTCGTATCTTTTCTATAGTCCCAAGAAATTATCTGGCTTTTCTGCACAGTATATCCTTTTCCAAGGTGACCTATGGTTTTTATGTGCTTCGGTGTGGCGTTCCTGACATGAATCATGTTTGTGCTCTATTATGCTGTACTTACATGCCAAAACACCTGTTTCTCTTTACTGTCTACAGAGAACTTTGTAAGATTTTGTGTGTGTTTTTACATGAAACCTTTAACACTGCAATGAACAACTCTGTCCCTTTCCAGCACGGGATATGCCCAGTAGATGGCACCCGGAACCCGCGCACTGACAACTGCTTGCCCTAAATTCCAATGTATCTCAATTTGCCATGCTGAAGTGATTTTTAGCTAACACACACCCTGTGTTTTCATTAAGACTGGCCAAAGGAGGTTCCTTTAACCTCGATTAATAAAATGTATAATCATTTTGGAAATGTTTGGAGTCAGAGACCTGCCAACTGCTTTTTTCTTTTTATCTTTTTATCTTTTT